GTTTAGAGAAAGTCAGCGCTCTGAAACGATACCATTGTATCGTGTGAAATGCCGGGACGACTGGCTGCCCTATTCCCATAAGGCTCTTATGTGTCTAAAAACGCAAGGAAAGCTTTCAGTGCTTAAGCAAGCAAGCAAATGTAACCCCTGGGTTACAGAAACCATGTGAGGGGCAGAGGATGTTTAATGGGAAGCAGCAAGCCCGGGGCTCAGGTTGCAGAGCAGCTAGCACAGGTCCTGGAGGAACCAGCATCCCTCTCTGTTTATGTTGGTCTCCTCCAGAGCTCTGTGCATAGAGGTTTCCTTGTATAAAGCATCTCCTTGCCTGTTACTTGGGGTGTTCTGTTTAAAAGGAAGAGGGAAGAAAGAAGGAACAGATGTTGCTCTGCTGACTGCCCCTTCCCACGTGCTGCTGTCATTTCTGGTTCCCAGTGCCTGCAGGGACGTGTGGAGCCTTTGGGCAGGAGCTGTGCAGCCTGTTGTGTCCCCTGGGAGCCCCGTGTCCAGGATCTTTCTCCTTGGAGAAGAATTAAAGATGTGTCTGTGCCTCCTTGGGAACCTCTTGGCTGCTGCATGCACTGCTGGGACTTGAACCAGACCTCTGTCCTAGTCTGCAAGATCCCCAAAGAGCAGCTCTGACCGCTGGTGCCTGACCGCAGTGTGACCGGGAGGGCACAGTGTGAGCATCCCCAGTGCTGCAGCACAGTGCACGGACTGACAGACAAGCACTTTGCTGCTTCCCTGACCCTGGTCTTGCTCAAGGAGTGCTCAAGCCCAGGGTGAGAGCGTGAGTTTGAGCATTTCTTGCCCATGAGCATCCCAGCAGCAGGTAGAGGCGCTGCTCAGGGCTGGGACGTGGCTGTGTTTTTCCAGAAAGAAGCTTTGAGGGAGGAGAAAGCGCAGGCAGCAAAAGGAAATCCTGACTTTGGAAATACAGATTTGCTTTCTTACATGTGTCAAAACATTTTCTGAGGATAAGATTACTTTCCAAAGTGCTGAAGGCCCCTGCACATGCATGTGTTGGCATTCGCTTTGGTAAAGGCTTGGCTGCTGAGTTTGGGGCTGGGGATGCAGAGCTTCTGCAGTTGCCAGCAGAGCCCCACAGCAGGTGCTGCCCACACCACCCTGCATGCAAGGATTAGTGCTGGGGCTGCTCGGATCTGGGCTGCCAGCTGTCCTGTAGCACACTGCTTCCTCACAAAGGGGTTTGCAGTCAGGGCATGGGGTCATGAGTAGGGTTGGGTTCGCATCCAAAAGGAATCATAGAATGGCCTGGGTTAAAAAGGACCACAATGATCATTTGGTTCCAACCCCCTGCTATATGCAGGGTCGCCAACCAGCAGCCCAGGCTGCCCAGAGCCACATCCAGCCTGGCCTTGAATGCCTCCAGGGATGGGGCATCCACAGCCTCCTTGGGCAACCTGTTCCAGTGCATCACCACCCTCTGGGTGAAAACCTTCCTCCTCATATTTCAGACACCTCATTTTAGGGGATTTCTGGCTTGTGCAGCTGTGCCTTCCAATGGATTGAGTCATGAGTTGCCTGAATTGGGTTGGAACTGGTTAAAAGGAAACGCGTGGAAATGGCAACACCTCTGTGTGTGTACTCCCCGCAGTGCAGGCACCCCGAGAGGAAGAGGAGGAAGGGCGATGCTGAGCGCTGACTGCTTCCACCTCCGCTGCCTCCAGCACCAGCTGGCAGGAGGGTGGTGGGGCTGGAGAGACCCTGCCAGCACCAGAAGTCCCCTGGAAGGTGCCTTAGCAGGGACAGGGCCCTGCAGTCCAGCTCCCTGCTCAGCCCTGGCTGTGGGGATGTGGCAGTGGAGCCTCAGAGAGACCTGGGCACTGCCTGGGCCCCAGCACCGCACGGTGCTGGCCTTGGGCTCCTGTTGTTTTCATTAATAGGCCAGTTCCATGCAGGAAGCCGGGAGGAGGGTCCTGTGGAGCAGAGGTTGTTTGCTTTCCTTTCTTAGCTCTGAGCAGGACGGGCTATTTTTAAGTTTTTCTCTTTTTTCGAGAGCTGTTTTGCTTCCTGAGGTTCTTTTCTCATTTCTGTGCAAAGAGCAGGAGTGAAGTGATGCTGAGCAGGGCAGCTCTGGCCACGCTGGGAACTGTTGTCACTGGAGATGGCATCCCAGAACCAGCTGTGCATTGAGGGTCACCTGTGCTCAGAAGTGGGAGCACAGCCCTCTGGGTCAGGCAGGACACAGAGCAGTGACCAAGCTTGCTGGAAGTCAACCCAGCATCCAACCAACATCCCTATGCAACCAGCAGCAGGAGATGGATGTCCCATCCCAAGAGCTACAGGTGGGCAAGCTTTCATGCTGTCCTCAGTGTCTCCTTTGCAGAAGGAACACCATGGAGGCCCAGGGCTCATTTTGCTGTCATAGGCTGTCCAAGCCATTTCCAGCCCTACTGAGGAATGGTTGCTTTCCCAGCACCCCAGCACTCCCTTGCCACACAGTGTGGGCATAGGAAACAATATTTGGATGGCTTATCATAGAAACATTAACGTTGGAAAAGACCTCTAAGATTATTAAGTCTGACCCCAGCCCATCCCCACCATGGCCATGACCATGTCCCTCAGTGCCACATCTCCATGGTTATTGAACACCTCCAGGGATGGTGACTCCACTGGGCAGCTGTCTGTGACCCTAATCACAGCTTTGCAGCTCTTCCTTAGACTTTCTGAACCCTTTTTGTGTCTGGGATTTGACCTTCTTTTCATTTTTGCAGCGGGGCCCAGAAAGACTTGGAGAAAAGCCATTTCTGGGTGTTGTATGCAGCCCAGCCCTCCGATAAAGGCAGGGGATGGCTGTATTCCAGGAGCTGTGCTGAGGGCTGTGGGCAAGTTTGCCTTGGGCTTGGGGCACTTTAAGGGGCTTGATGTCAACGGAAAGGACTGTGTGTTCCCCACTGATGATCACTAGTGCCATCTTTGCTTTTGGTGATAGCAAATGGACAGAAAGGAGCTGAGATGGCAGAGGTGGTTCACAGCATGAGCCCTGGAGAGCAGCAAGGTTGTTTGACTTGGTAACAAGCTTTTGATACAAAAAGAAATCCCCCAAACACACGGCGTAGGGACATTTCCAGAGGGGCGTTTGCAAAGAAAAGAAGCTGGCCAGTATTTCCTTTGCTCTCAGGTTCCTTGAGAGCATTTACTTTAACTGTCTGTTCCTGCAGACACATCTGTCATTAGGTAATTAGGCTTCTTTATTGAGGGAAATAAAAAGGAACTGAATAGGCTGGCAGGAGGAGTGATGAGCAGGCTTTAATTGCCCACCATGGACAGAAGTGTGATCACAGCCATCAGGGAGCTGGTGGTGTGTGGCTGTGCTCCATCCCCTGCCGACGTCCCCTTCCTGCAAAACTCAGCCTAGGCTGGCCTTGCACATTGTTTGGAAGCTGGGGTTGGGGAGAAGAATGGTTGAAGTGTTGTTAGGGATGTGACAGAGAAAGGAAGTGGTGAAAAACTCTGTTCTGGTGAGCCCGAGCTCGGTGCTGAAGAGCTGTGGACCTGCCAGATTAAATCTCGGCTATTTAAAATTGATTCAGTGTTTTTAGAGTGTGATAACTGAGAGTTAGATGCAGATCTCTGCTTCCTCCTGAATATATGGAAGTGCAGGACGAGGCATTGGCACAGGCTGCCCAGGGAGGTGGTGGAGTCACCATCCTTGAAGGTGTTCAAGAACCGTAGAAATGTGGTACATAGAGACGTGGTTTAGAGGTTGTGGTGGGGATGGGTCAGCAGTTGGACTGGGACTCTGTGCTCAGGTGTTGATCACCAGGGAGATATAAATGAGTTGGCTGGGTGCCATACCCCAATGGCAGCACAGGATTTTCGTGCTCAGGTTGCCTGCACCCATGTCCCTGGCACAGCCTGTCCCAGGCACACCGTTGCTCCCCAGCACTTCCCCTGCTGGAGACTGAACAGTGTTTTTGGGTATTCCCCCTAAAAAGGCAAAAGAGCCCTGAGCTGCTTGTGTCAGCAGCTGTGATCACGATCTGCTGGTGAGGCTGAGCCGCAGCGGCTGCCACGTGGACGCTTCCCTGCCCTTCCCTGCCGGCAGCTGCAGCAGATGGTTCCCATTGCTGAGCACAGGAGCTGCTCTGCAGCACCCCGATGTGTCCCAGGGGCTCTTGGCTGTAGGAAATGGGGTACCAGGGGTGCCGGGAGGGAAAGCTTTGCTCAATTCTCCCTGACGTTTCTGGTGTCTTGTGTGATCCCAGTGTGGCTTTCAAAGGACTGAAGCTCACCCGTAGTGTGCTGTTAGAGGAAAGGATGGGTGGGCTCATTGTGTTGAGTGGCACAACCCAGCTCAGCCATCCCAGGGAGTGTACAGTGGGGCAGGGAGCATCGCCTGGCGGATGGAGGCTGCCCTGCCCTTGGTGATGCTCTGTCCCCTTTGTCAGGCTGTGGCTCGGAGCCAGCAAGCTGACACTGTTGTCCATCAGATTTCCTTGGAAAGATTCCTGGCTATAGAATCCGGGCCTCCCAGCTTGCTCCTTCCTGCACTGGGGGGTCTCACGTTATTGTTTTTCAAGCACTTTGGCTTGAATGATCTCTAAGAACCGTTTTTAAGGATATGAGCTTCTGTGACTGCCACCTTTGTTTTTATGCAGTGTTATTTGGGTTCGATGCTCTTCTGAGATTTTCACTTTCCGGATTTGGATTTGGATGGCAGCAGCCAGCGGGAAGCTGGTGTTTATCCTTTGGGTGGGAGAGGCAAAGGGAAGTGTTTGGAGTGTTTGGTACTGTACCCCATTGGGCTGGGAGCTGCTCCAGCTTTTTGGGGCTGCATTTCCTGCTTCACGTTCCAGCTTTGTTTCTGGGTTTGTTGCTTCTCTGTCCCTCTGTCCCCTGTGTGTTAAATAGGATTGTGAATCCTCATGGCAGAGCGGAGGAGCGGTAATGGGACCACAGTACCGGAGGTTTCTGGAAGCGTCTCTTGAGATGCTCAGATGGTAACTAAATTCTGAATTCCTCTTAATTTCTTTCAGCTCTGAAAAGATCTTTTGAGGTCGAGGAGGTAGATCAGTCTTCAAATTCCTCCACCCCACAAAGACGGACCCCGAACCCTCTCCTCAGGTCCACCGTGTCCAGCTCCACGCAGAAGTTTCAGGAACTCGGTGCCAGGAACTCGGAGCCATCTGCCAGACATGCAGACCCCACAGCCCAGCGATCCCCCAAGGCCCCTCTGAGGAGAGTGGAGCACTCCGGACCCAAACTGCCAGAGCCGGTGTCCAGAAGAACAGAAATCTCCATTGACATCTCATCCAAGCAGGTGGAGAACTCCACTTCAGGGTTGTCGAGGTTTGGCCTCAAAAGAGCAGACGTGCTGGGGCACAAAGCCCCGGAGCCCACCCCGCGCAGGACTGAGATCACGCTTGGCAAACCCCAGGAGCCAGGACTGCGGCGGGCGGACGCCCCAGCATCGAAGATCCCCGAGATGCCCCAGCGCAGAGCGGAGCCGCCCAGCGCTCCCGTGCCCGACGTGGCCACCAAGCGCGTGGAAATTCAGGTAGCCAAGGCTGCCGAGGTGCCAGCCCCGCTGGCACGGCAAGTAGAGAGCATGGAGCATGTGCCGGCCCCGCAGCCTCCCCAGGCAGAGCCAAAGCCACAGCCGGTGCTGATGGAGAGCCCACCAAAGAGAGAGGAAGGTGAGTACGGCCGCACTGTGGGTTGGGAGCTTGGAGCTTCCAGCTTGAGCAGTGATGGCTTTCGGGGCTGAGCTTGCATCTTGTCTCGTGTGTCTACATACATGGCTGTTAGACTTGGTTTTATGTTGGCTGAAAGAGCTGTCAGTTGGAATAAGACGTGCTGTCAAGCTTATAAGAAATAAAATGAGCAAGTGCCAAAAGCTTGGGTGCTTGCGGAAGAAGACACTTCTGCCAGCACAGACCCGCCTGCCTGTGCAGCAGCTCAGAGAGCCTCTGACATGCTGGAAAATGTGATGGTTGTGGAGGTGTTGTTGTGATGGCTTGTTGTTTAATGTTGTTGTTTATAGTTGTGGGGCAGAAACAGCCTCTTCATTAGCAGGAGTCAGGGTTTTTTTTTCCTGCTGGTTGCTGGAGCCAAAGTCTAATAACACCATGGATCAGAGCCAGTATTAAACTGGAGCCCTGCCTTCTATTAGCTGCATCTTGTTTTCGATTAATCCTGTATTAGACATGAAAGCCAGCTTCCCTCCCCCACTGGCCGTCATTTACCCTCCTTAATGTTCTAGAGATTTTTCTCTTTTAGCCTTTAATTATGTTTCCATTCCTCATCACATGCTTGCTCTGTCCTCTCCGGAGCTGTGGTGGGGAGTAGTGCCAGGTTGAGACCCTGGGAGCTCCATGCCTGCCCTGGGGTCCATCTCCTGTGTTCTTGGATCCCATGGCTGGCCCAAGCCTTGCCCTGCTATGTGCCCCAGCTCTATTGCTGCTGCATGCAGCCAGTCTCAGATTGCTCCTACCCAGGAACCATCATCTGCTGCGAGGTTCAGATGTGCCCTGCTGCTGGGGTTTGGGGTTTTGGTATATATGTGTAATTTGGAAGCAAGGTGTCCACGCTGATGTTAGACCTCTAAGACAGGGGTGGTTTTCTCTGACTGTGAGCACGGATGGAGAGAATGAAAGGCTCCAGTAGGCAGCAGGCTGGTGCAGCTCCATCATGGGCATGGCTGGGGATCAGCAGTGGGCTTGGTCATGGGCTCAGCTGGGGCCTCTCTGCCGGGTTTTATCCCCAGAAGCAATGAGGAAGGTGCCAAGGCCTCTGTTGTGCCCTGTGCCTGACCTCACCCTGCTGAGTTTGGGCTGCTGTGAGCTCCTCAAGCTCTGAATGCAGCTGGGCACTTTAAGAGCAGAAGAATCTGAGCTGCTGAACGCCCCAGCTGCACAGGGGGGAAAGGGAGGGCTCTCTGCATCAAAAAGGACTCCAGAAACTCAGGACAGCTGCTGGGGATGGGTTTTAGCAAAGAGCCCGGCTGTCTGGGGTCTGCCTTACAGAGCAGGCCAGGCTGGTGCTGGTACAAAAGGGGCTTTCAGTTTGGGTACATCTAAAAAGAGCCAGGAAAAGAGGCTGAAGGAGCAGGAAGGGCTCTGGCTCCTTCTGCCTGCTGGTCAGCTCAGGCACGCACCCTGACCTCGTGGCCATTGCTCACCAGGCAGGGATGGCATCTCCTCAGGGTGCCCAGCAGGTGAATGCAGGCTCATTGCTGATCTGAGCACAACCTCTCAGGTGAAAACATGCTGTGCATGGCAAAGGCTTGGAGTCTTGTTCCCACTCACTCTGAAACATAGGATGCTCCCGTGGCACAGACACCCTGGCACCTCGTGCCTTGCAGCTCTGGCACAAGCAGCTGCACCGGGGATGTGCCAGCTGCCCCCAGCCCCATGCCAGGACACGCAGCCCCCAGCTGCTGGGCTCAGCTGTGCTCTCTTGTGCTGAACCCTGTGTCCCAGAGGAGGTGGCTGGAGGACGGCCATCTCCCTCACCAGACCCTGAAGGAAAGCAGTGGTTGCAACTCTGAGCTTCATTCGGGTGGAAGCAGTGGTTCTCAGTGTCAGAAAAGTGCAGGAGGAGCTCTGATGGGGCACAGGAGCAAGAAATATTCGTTCCCACCTCTGTCTGCCCTCTCTATCTCTTCCTCCTGTGCTCCCTGAGGTGCATCCCCCATTCTCTTGCAGGGCTTAACGTTGAGTTTGGGGGGCTGATGACAGGAGGAACACAAGCAGCCCAACATGGGGCTGGCTGTGCTCCACGCTCTGCTGGGCACAGAAACATGTTTTCAGAGGCGTGTTGGAAAATTCACAAGTTTACTGTTGTTGTTTGAGGGCTTGTGAATTCATTGAGTTTGCTTTCGATGTTGGCTTATTCATCTGGGAAAACATGTTGATCTTTGCGTCTTGCAAGTCTGTGGTGATTGGGAGGGAAGAGCAGAAAAGTTCATGCTTTTCATGCCAGCTTTCTGCTCCGTCTCTGCTTCCCCAAGATGTGGACCTGTTTGTATCTGGGGTTCTGGGATCGCAGTGATGGGTTAAAGGGATCCCAAGTGAGAAGTGGAAGCCCTTCTGACCTGATGGTCTTTCTGATCTCTGCCCATGGCCTCGCTGCCCATGCCTCCTATTGCTGTAGCTAGAAAGGGAGATGGGGGTGGATGATGTGAGTGCTTGGAGCTGTCACCCGAAGCAGAAGCTTGACTTGTGCTACAGCCACATCTGAATGAAGCACATCTCTGTGCTGACACGCAGTGATGGGTAAAGCAGTCTGCAGTGTGCACAGGAGTGCAGCTCTTATGGAGTTTTCTCCCATCGCTGCCCCCTCTGGGACAGCTGTGTGGGTGCCAGGATCCCTGAGAAAGCAGCAAGCTCCCCTCTGCTGCTGCAGGAAAAGCACAAGGACTTCAGTAGAATGAAACAATTCAACTTTTCCACTCTTTTTTTTTTTTTTTTTTTCTCCAGCCTGGACCCCTAAGGCAAACTTTGTCCTTAGAACTTTATTTTTCATTTAAAAGCTCCATTAGAGTTAGCTAAAAAAAAAAAAAAAAAAAAAGAGAGAGAACTTTCCAATCCACAGAACTCCTCGTGAAGGACATCTCCAAAAAATAGGGACCCACTGCAGTCCCAGTTGTCCTGCACTGGTCCTTAGTGAGCCTTGCATTTGGTGTAGATCTGTAGGGACAATGCTGAGCACAGAGGTGGGGTTCAGAGGGACCCAGGGACCGCTAGCACAGCAGCCCTGCCACAAAAAAGGGGCCAGGCCTGTGCGGATCAACAGTGAGTAATCATTTCCAGCTCCCTGAGCTGCACAGCAATTTAACTGTATGAGGAGATTAAAGCTGCAGGGAAACGTTTCCTTAAAACCAGCTGACACATTTGGGCTAGATTATGAGTCGTCTTTTTTTTTCTTCTTCTTCTTTTGCTGCCGTTGTTATTATTTTTAACAGGAAAAGCGCCTACAGCCTGAGATACCAAATGGAGAGGCTGAATGAGAAACACAGAGTCCAAATCCGCGTGCTCAGGGCAGGTGCCAAAAATGAGATAATCTGGAAAAATGGAGTCCTGGAGGAGCAGGGACTTGGAAGGAGAGCACGTGAGGAGCCTGCGTGCAGAGGGGATGCTTGTGTCCCATTGCAGGGATGCACGGCCACGTGCTGAGTATCTGCATGGGGATGGCAGCAGTGCATGCCCTGTCTGTGGCTGTGCAGGGAGCAGCTGGGGCAGCTCATCCAGTCTCATTTTGGGCTGTATTTGGAGCAGGAAGGCGGCTGGGTGATGTGGTTGTGCCACACTGCTGTACATTCTTGGCCATCAGGATGTTGCTCCCAAATGTGTGGGCTGCTGTTGCCTTCAGCTCAGGTCATTGCCATGTGAGACCCATTGGGGATGTAGGATTTTCTCTGGAGACAAATGCAAACAAACGGAGAATTCATTGTCCCTCTGGAAGTCCCTGAGGGCCTGTAGGAAAAGCAGTGATCTCACCAGTGGAGGTTCATCGTGTGGATTCCCATCGGAAATGGAACACTTCTCCCTTCCCTGCCCTGCCTTGTCTTCTTTGAAGCCGGATGAGGGTGAAACTGTGGTTGCTGAGCATCAGAGAAATCGTGACCCTTCTCCTTCTCAGCTGGCTCTGTGCACGAGGCCATGCATCCATGTGCTTACTCCCAGAAGCTTGCAGGGACTATAAAGGCTGAGCTTCCTGGCCCAGGAGAAAGTAAGCAGGTGTGCCTAGCAACATGCTGCTGCAGTGCCGGTCCCACAACCTGATGGGGTCTGGGCTGTGAGCCCCATGCAGCTGCAGGGCCCTTCCTGCTGTACCCAACCCTCTGCAGCCCTGTCTGGGAGCAGTGGGTGTCATGCACAGAGCAGAATGAGGGGTTGCTGTGTTTATCTTGTGCTATCTGTGTGTCTGGAGCCCATAGTGGTTGTGCTCTGGAACACGCTCCCCGCCCTACAACTCCTTTGGCATCCTCCAGCTTTCTCACATTTGGGTTAATCATCCTACAGGCTGATAAGGCAAATAAAATCCGTTATCTTGACCAAGATAAAACAAAGAGTTTGCTTTGATCTCTTACAGTAAGGGCTGGCCGCTGGTTGTGTGGCTTCTCCCTGTTGGCTGGGGGAGGTGGTGGTAGCAGTGGCGATGAACCTTCTGCAGGGAATAGCTTTTCTCCTATGCTATTTCTAGATCTGTGTCCCAGCCTGAGATGTTTCTGTTGGCCAGTGGCTGGGAGGACACCGTAAGCTGGGTACGGTGCCAGCGCTGTAAACTCTGTGAGAGGAATTGAGGAACTGGATTGAGATTATATGGAGATTACTTTGTTTTGAGAAGATCAAACATTGTCGTGTCCAAAGCAGATAACTTGACAGCAAGCCAGTTGTGTTCTCTACTCCTCCAGCAAACAAACAGAGCCACAAACACTTTTGCATTGTCCAAGATGTTGCAATGAAGTCGAAGTGAATGTGGCTATAAATGGAAGAAGCAGCTCTTCTTGGATTGCAGCCTGTGCTCAGACTCCACTGGACCCAGTTTTTCTTCCATCTGTTACAGCTTTTAGAGGAGGGACTTGGGGAGAGGGCTGCTTTCCTTCAGGTCTGTTGGCCTTTGTTTCATTCTTCTGAGCAGACCTAGGAGTAGAAATTACCTGGATTTCTGTAGGGTCACACACAGATACTTC